TCTTTAGCCCCAGGCCTGTCGGAACAGCCAGGTTTTAAGGGCTTTGCGGAAGGTCTGGAGGGTGGTGAGGGTACGAATCTCCACGGGGATTTCGTTCCAGAGGGTCGGAGCAGCCACCGAGAAGGCTCTCTCACAAATGGTTGGAACTTGGAGCAGGATTTATTTGACAAATAGATGCACAATCCTGATTTTATCCAAAGGATACACACACAGTGTCCCTTTTTAAAAAAATATTATCCTAAGAATCTCTATAAATAACATGTTTCTTAGAGTCTGGAGAGCCAAAGTGGGAGAATAAATAGGGTAGAATATTATGTTAAGCACTAAAGAAAACAAGGAGACAGTAAATATTTAATACCAGTTTAATTGTTGTCAATGTATTAAAAATAATTTAGCCATCAGTTCACTAGCTGTATTCTTGATTTGATAGCCCCTGTCAAACCTTTAGCTGTCAGAAAAGAGAATTACAATAAACACAAATGCTGTCTATTAACCTTGATAAAATATATGATTGATATCTTTTTTGTTTAACTCTGTCTTTTGAAAATAGACTGAACCGCCGTTGAACACCCCTGAAAACCGAGAATATCTTGCAGAGATCATGTTTGAATCATTTAACATACCTGGACTTTATATTGCTGTGCAGGTAAAATCAAATAAATTCTTCCTGGAACAATGCTGCTTTTGGCATTGGAAACAGTGTATTTAGTTCTCTCCCTCTCTCCCCCTCCCAGTATATTCTGGAAGAGAAGTTGATATGATTAAGTAGGGTGTCCAAAAGATGAAGATGGCAGTTGCAACACCTGTTAAAAAAAGAACAGAGTTTGAATCGTGCAGCTGTAGGTTCCATCTTACATTTTTTTTTAACCCTCTCAGCAAATGTCTGTGTGATTGATGTAGGGAAAGTATTTTCATTTGGCTAATGTAGAAATGTTAAGAGTTACTGCTGAAGACCTGATTGTATATAAATAGAAAGAGGAAATTGTGTCATTCTTACAAAGTCAATTTGTTTCAAGGAAGGAAGGGAGGGAGGAAGGAAGGAAGGAAGGAAGGAAGGAAGGAAGGAAGGAAGGAAGGAAGGAAGAAAGGCTTTTGCTGTGATCTCACTCTATATTTCATCTCTGTAGCAAAGATTATTTTATTTAACTATTTTCCAATTTTTTCCATTTTGCATCATTGCATAATTTTAGCCTTTAAGACAGCCCTGTTTCTTTCCTATCCATACCCTACTCCAGGAACCTACCATAATCTCATCATTATATTGGTTTGTAGACTAACTAGCATGGGGACCAGAGATAACATCTGTAGAAGTGGAAAGCATTATTCTATGGCAGTGTTTCTCAATCTTAGCAAGACCGTGGATTTAAACACCAAGAATTCTGGGAATTGAAGTCCACAGCTCTCCAAATTGGTCTAGGAAATGTTAGTTTAGGAAGTCCATTCTGCCCTATGGGTGCAGAAGATGTAGAAAGTGCTTTTATTTTTATTTTTAATTATTTTTATTTTTATTAAAATGTCTTTTACATTTTCTTTTCTTTGGTTTTTTTTTTCTAAAAAAAAAGAGGAAAACTGATATTTAGTCTTTTATTTTTTAATTTATTTTATGTATAGAGTCTCACTTGGGCTGGGAATTTACCAACTATTTGGGAAATTGGTAAGAAATTCTATATTACTGTTTTTCAAATTAACTTTCACAGGCCGTGTTAGCCTTAGCTGCATCCTGGACTTCACGACAAGTTGGGAACCGTACCTTAACTGGCACAGTGATCGACAGCGGTGATGGGGTGACTCATGTCATTCCAGTGGTAAGTACGATATACAAGTAACCCTTGACTAAGCATTCACGTAATGATGGCTCAAAATTACAAATGGCCTTGAAAAAAATGATTGTACTGTTCTCTCATTTACAACTGTGCAACACTTTGACAGTCACATGATTGCTTATGGGATCCCAATTTGGGTATTTGGCAGCTCTCATTTATGAGTGATTACAGTGTCATACTACAGTCACACAATCACAGTTTGCAATCTTTTACGTTGATTTTTGGCAAAAAAAAAAAATAGCCCATTGGGAAAGCTGGATTCGGTTAACGTGATTTGTTTAACAACTGCAGTGAATGTACTTAATGTTTGCTGCATAAATTGTTGTAAATTTGGGTCCAAACCAGGGGTGGGTTCCTGCCAGTTCTAACCTCTTCTATAGAAGAGGTTCCACAAATCTACAGTGCCCTTTAGAACCGGTTCCAGCTCCCTCCCCCCACCCGTCCATACATCATCAAGATGAAGTGTGAGAGGAGGAATTCTGGGTGTTGAAGGCCACAAGTATTAAAGCTGTCAAGTTTGAACACCCCTGG